TTATATGTAGCTCCCTGTGATCAATTCCCCCTTTCTACACCCCCCTTCCCTCCTGGTATCACCACTGTCACCCCTGGTCCTGAGTGGTTCATCTGTTCCTCTCATCTCTTACCTCGGCATTTGTTTCTGCCAGGAGTACATAGTTCATGTGAAAAGTCATAAGAACGTAGATATTTTTAATAGTGTGGTAACATCAAAGGTCAGATAAAGAGATAGTCAATAAGTGAGGAATAGATATAGTTATGAAAGAATGTGAAAAGATGTTATGCTTTTGCATAACAACTTCAGGATGTTCCCATATAAAAATTAAAACAATAACAATGAATATGAGAAAACAGCCTGAATTTGAAGGTGGTCAGTTTCTCAGGGTTTATTTGGTCAGTCTTCACTGAAAAATATATTTTTTTAAAAACTGCCATCAACACTGGGTCTCTACTCAAGTATACCCTCAACACCAGAACACTTTTTTCTAATAATCCGGCATTCTGAAGTCTCACCTTCCTGACATGATCGCTGAAGACAAATGGGTGCATAAGCAAATGTGGTGAAGAAAGCTGATGGTGCCCAGCTATCAAATGATGTAGCATCTAGGGTCTTAAAGGCTTGAAGGTAAACAAGCAGTCATCTAGCTCAGAAGCAACAAAACCCACATGGAAGAAGCACACCAGAGTGTGTGATCATGAAGTCATGAGGTGTCTACAGGATCAGGTATCAGGCATCAAAGACCCAGAACAAAAAATCATGTCAATGTGAATGGGGTGGGGGTGGGGGAGTGTGGAGTGGAGGTCCAAAACCAATCTGTGGGCAATTGGACACCCCCTTACAGAAGGGTCATGGGGAGAAGACAGGCCAGTCAGGGTGCAGTATAGCACCAATGAAACATACAACTTTCCTCTGGTTCTTTAATGCTTCCTTACCCCTACTATCATGACCCTAATTCTATCTCACAAATCTGGCTAGACCAGAGCATGTATATGGGTACAGATAAGAGCTGGAAATACAGGGAATACAGGACAGATAAACACCTTGGGACCAATATTGAGAGTAGCTATACCAGGAGGGGAAGGGGAAGCTGGGGGAGAAAGGGGGAACTGATCACAATGACCTACCTATAACCCCCTCCCAGGGGGAATGGACAATAGATAAGGAGGTAAAGGGAGACATTGGACAGTGCAAGACATGGAAAAACAATAATATTTTCTAAATTATCAAGGGTTCATGAGGGAGGAAGGGAGGGAGGGGGAGGAGGGGGAAAATAGGAGCTGATACCAAGTAGTAAGAAATTTTTTTGAAAATTATGATGGCAGCGAATGTACAAATGTGCTTCACACGATGGATGGATGGATTGTGATAAGAGTTGTATGAGCCCCCAATGAAATGATTTTTTTAAACTATCATCAAGTTATTCCACTCATGTCCAATTCTAAAGGACAGAGTTGAACCACTCCTGTGGGTTTCCAAGGCTTTCTAGGAGCGGAAAGCCTCATCTGTCTCCCTCAGAGAGAGTGATGGGTTAGCACTCAGGGGATAATCACTACATCACTTGGATTCTGGAGAAATATATAACAGCTTACAATGGAGAGGATGGGGAGGAATGTTAGACCGGGGAAGGAAGTAGCATTATTACAACTCTATAAAAAGCTCCTATTGCATGAGTTGCTAAGAAAAACAGAGTATAAAACTTTTGAGAGAATAAAATAGTCAGGTACCATCAATACATCTAGAAAAATCTTCTAAGAGTATATACCTTGAATGCACCGTGTTTGTTTTAAGAGTGGGGCACAACTCAGAAAATTAGGCTGGTCATGCTGCATTCACATCTCATTCCAGTTAAGAAGAATTGGAAATGTGATCCGTAAAAAGAACAGCAATAAATGAGATAGCACCATCATCATCAACTGCTATCATTTCCTGAACTGTTACAATGTTCCAGGTACTATTTTAAGGGCTTTCATATAATATCTTATTTAATTATGACAGTAATAATCTTTGCAAGGTATGTGTTTATTATTCCCATCTTTGTGGTAGAGGAAATGAGACTTCAAGATATTAGAAATTCCCAAGATCTCACAGGTAGTAAGAGGCTGTGCGCTGTGTCTAATCCAGGTGGGCACCAACACCGTCTGCCCACCCTGATGTTTCATCTCTAAAAGCTCAAGAGGACAATCCACAAGGAAAGTTGTATATGAGAAACCTCTTTGGTTGTGGAATACTGATAAACTAATGATGGCTGTGGATAAGGATAAAAAAAGGATAAATAGTTTTATCAAGGAAAGGTAAACCCCCTACCACTGAGGCAATGCTGCCTCATAGCCACTCTATAGAGGGTTTCTGGGCTTTCATAAATCTTTACAGATGCAAACAACCTCACCATGTTCCATCAAGCAGCGGGTGGGTTTGAACTGTCAACCTTGTGATTAGCAGTCCAATGTATACCTGACAATGCCACCAAAATGAAGGAAAGCACACAAAGTTAGAGAAACTTGCTAATCATAGTACAGATGAAGGCAAAAAGTCAACCAAGAGTTTAAGGTCCCAATCTATATAACATCTTTGCCTTACTTACTTTTTTCCTGTTCCCCCAACAACCCAGTCTTCTTAGTAGCCCAGGAAGGGGGAAAAACATTTAAAACAAAAACAAAAAACTCTACGCCCAGTGTCAGCTCCCAAATTTGAAAAAGTATCTGTGCTTGGTACTCCATCTGCAGTGTAAGGGGAGGGCCCAGAGGAAACATCAGAGGTTGAAATTCTGATTTTCTATGCCTATAATAACAACTGCAGCCACAATTCTAGGCAGCAGGGAGGCCCGCTAACTGCTGAGGAAGCCAGGACATGCTCGTGGAGTAAGGACAGTATGTGGAAAGCATTAAATAAAAGCTAGGTGCTGAAAGAAGGCAGTGAGAAGTAAAAGGAGAAAAATCAACTAGGGAAGAATAAAATAATACTAAAAATAATAAAGGCAATAAAGGGAGAAGACAGCAATTGCAACCCATAACAAATATCATCCAACTTTTTTTGCTTGTTTTGTCTCTAGCCCAAGCACACAGTTGGGATGTGGGAAAATGCTGGAGGAGGGGAGGATTTTAATGATTGTTCACCAAGTTTTTGCAGAAAGTTTAGAACATCAAATATTAAATATCTTAATTTCACCCCGTGGTCTTCCAGGATTGTAGAGAAATACACTTGTTGAGGAGCTTAATTAGTTGCTTGACCTAAATCTACCCATGCCTCAAATAATGCACCTAATTAAATAGCAAATGTTAGTAACAGTGATGTTTTCCCCGGCATCAATAATAAAGTGTTATGTTGATAGACATCACATTAAAATGTGACACTGGGTTTCGGCTAAGCCAGTAAATGTTCTATGTAAAAATGAAACAGATGAATTTCTACCTTTAGGGTCCTTTCAACCACTTTTACTGTCCTGATCAACAACAGCCAACGTCCAGAAAAACACATGGCTCTATGGGACAGGTGGGGGAAATCCTCACCAAATGCCTACAAAATGCTCATGAGCAAGGATATGAGTCTTCAATTCTTACAAAGATGTCTCATTGGACAGACCGTCTCATCACATTCAAGGAATAAATACAGACAAAATCAGAACTGGCTGCCTTTCAGATCCAGCATCTCAAACCAAGCTCCAATCACGGTGAACATGAAAGGTGTAGAAACACCAGAAGCCCGCATGCTGAGCTTCCTTTGCCATCAGAAACTCGAATGTTGCCCCTGCTGTTTGCCTGTGGAGCTGCTGAAATAAATTCTCAATATGATTTTTATCTCACAAGCAAAAAATCTACTTACTCAGTCCTATCCAGTGTCGGCTATCCAACAGATCATTCGATTCTCACACAAGCCTGAACTCTACACTCAGCCAAAGCCAGTGTCAGCTTAGAAACTAAAAAGGCACAGATGGAGCAAAGGCTCTTTCTTTCCCAACTTGTCTCCTCTTTGTCCCACTTCCCTACTTAAAACTCAGGCATCTTAAAGTTAGATAACATGAGACAGAAGTAGTTGGGCACTTTGTTCCTTTTCCAACCCTGAACATCTGGTCCCCAAAGGTATCAGAGATACTAGAGGCCCATCTACTTCAGATGAACACTGGAAATCCGGAGCAATCATCGATCATCGTTTCTAGAAACTCGTATATGCATTCTGATGTTCTTAGAGACAAAGTATCTTCACTGAGAAACATGGGGTATCATTTGTGTGTAAGAGGTATGACCTATAAATTTCTCCTAAGTCACTTTGTATGAGGAAAAGGTCATTGCATTAAAGATGGTGTAATAACGTTTTAACTAATGTAACCTCAAGAAGCAATTTAAATAGCAAGACCCGTATTGTATTCTAGGACCCCAACGGGAAAGGGAAGAGTTGGCTCCCAGGCCCAAGGAGTTCTGGGAGGAGACTCCTACCTGGTAGGCATCAGGAATGTTGACTGTCTCTCCATGCTCCCCGACATAGCCAATGATGCCTTTGCCCCAGGGGACCTGCACCTCATTGGAGTTCTCTGTGCTGCTGCAGGGCAGCAGTGGAGTCCCAGCATGCACATCAAAGAATTTGGAGACCAAGCTCTTCTTGCCTGCAGCTGCCCCTTCCACTAGGAAGAGCGAGCAGCGGTCAGCGTCCACCATGAGGCAGACAAAGATGAGGATCTTGTAGCTCAGGCTGGTGAGGTCAAGGTCGTTGGAGATATCCTTGACCAGTTCCAGGAAGAACTGGCGCTCGTTGTGTTTCTTGAGGTGGCACTTGTAATCGATGGCCGTCGGGGGATACTGAGGCAGATTCACCCTGGATTCCAGTAGGGCACTGAGAATGTGGGCTGTGGTGGGGGGCAGAGAGCTCGCCTTGCGGAGAAGTGCCCTCCGCCGCACACTGCTCAGGGGTTCTTGGGCCCTGGAGGTCACCTGTTCATCGTAGGTCCTGTTCACGTGGATGGCCTTGGAGCGAGCAAAACTCTTCCTTAGCTCTTTCTGGGAAGCTCTCCGCTGCAGGTTTCCATCAGCACCACGGCTGCCACTGGTCCAGCCGGGGCTCATCGGAACCCCACCGCAGTCCCCCACGCCAGGAGCGGGCTGGCTGGTGGCAGAGCCCTCGGGTCCAGTGCCACCACCACTGAAGCTGCTGCCTCTCCCACCATCGGGAGCCAAGCTGCTGGGAGCAGCCCCAGCGGGGGGGCTGGCGTCGGAAGCTCCTTGCCGCTGGCTGTGCCTCAACAGCCACTTGTCCACCGTCTCCTGCGTCCCCTTCCTCATCAGGTAGTCTTCAAACAACTCGGGGTGCCTGTCCAGGAAACTTTCCACTTCCCCAAAGTCCAGGTGAGAGGCCGCCATGGTCCCAGACACCGCTGGAGCTGCTCCTCCGCACTTTGACCCAGACCTTCCCGGCCCCACCACCCCTCTAGCTGGCCCTGCACATGTTTTCCCACCGGGCTGCCCAGCTCAGTGCCACCTCCCCTGCCAGCCAGCCGGAGGCTATTCGGAGCGATGGATTCCCAGTCGGGAGGTTCGAACCCACCCCCTCCCGCTGCCCCGCCTGCTCCGCACAAGTGCCCCGCGCCCACTGCCGCCGCCGCCGCCGCCGCCGCTACCACCGCTCCGAGGCTGGAACCCCAGGCTGTCGCTGCACCGGCGGCCGCGGCTGCCTCTGCCGCCGCTGCTGTCGCCGGAGGAGTGGACCGCGGGCACAGGAGGGCGGGCAGGACACGCCCCTGGGTGAGGCTCCGAGCCCGGGGCGGCGGAGAGAGGCGGGAGCCCGGAGGCGCGCAGCGAGCCCAAGTCGGCGGCCCAGGAAGCCAGGGGGGTCTTGGAAAAGTCTATGGACCGCCGGGACCCGCGCCTGGGAGCGCAGCGGACTTCTGATTGGAACACGGTTGGAAGCGGGGAGCGCACCTTGTTCCTGCCCGCTCCTTCCTGCCCTCCCCAACGCCTCCCCAGCCTCCCCGTCGGCCGCCCCCCGAAAGCCTTTGGCGTTTCACCGGGGCCCTGCCGGACCCCAGCGGGGGTCCAGGTGCGAGGACGTGGCGATGCTTTGCTGGAATCCGTCCCTACTCCGGGAAAATGAAGATGCCCAGACAGGGGCAGGGTTCTGTTTCTGGGATGTGGCTGTGGATTGCTGGCTCCCTGGATTCCGGGGAATTGTACCAGCACTGCCCAGCCCCGTGTGGGCGTTCAGTAAATATTCGTGGAACTAAATTTCCCCGAAATTAGCGCCTGAAGACCCCTATGTGAACACTTACTTCATGAGTTTAACTAAACCCAGGTACCTTCGGGGAGAAGAGTGGAAGTGGGGAGGGGTGTAGCACCGTTGCATGGATTAGGGAGCCCCTAACTTTGCAAAGGCATATACCACAGTGGACTTGAGGGTCTCATGGGGCTTCCTTCCACCCAGTCCCGCACAGCGGCTGGGTTCTCTTCCTCTCCTGGGGGACTTGCTATTGCTTCCTGCTTTCTCTGCTCAGCTCGTGTGGCCACCAACACTTCTTTCACAGTCAGTGTTCTGGGGCTTGGGACTTGTATTTAAGGGGCTTTGCTCCGTGGAAGGCCTCTCTTTCTGATGCCCTCGGGATCTTCACGATCTGCCTCGTTGCAGCTAGTTAGGCTGAGAATAACATCAGGTTTCCCCTGAGCCTCTTTCAAATCTAGAGGTAAAGTCCCCGTTGACACGCCAGGAAAGAGGTACCGGCTGATAATACTTTCTTGAAACCCAAAGGAATCCTCTTTGGTGGGAAGCAAAGGCAGATGGCACCCCATCCTGCTCCCAGGACAGCAGGATACCTGGAGGTGCTCTTCAAGAAGACCGGGCGATCAGAGGAGGGTTTTCAAACGGCAGACACACAGGTTCAAAGCTGCCAAAGCAGGATGGCCTCAGAGCTAAGCAGATAAGATGTCCTGAGTACTTGTTGGGTATCACTCAATGTAAAGTGATGTGCTAATTCACCCTCATAGCGCACTTAAGGGAACCGACCCAACATGTTTTGGGTTAGTTCTGAGTTGGCTATAGCCATATGTCCTGCTTGGTGCATGAGGCCCCCAGAGAGGTCAACTAGCCGGCAGAGAAGAAGCAGATGTTGCCTGGAAGGTTCTGATGAAGTGCACTGATGTGGCCCCGGTGCCGCTTCCTCTTCATTCTCAGTTTGTAAAATAGCATGTGTGTTAGTCACGGACCCAGCAAGAAACAGGGTACTCTCACATGAGAGTCGTTCTGGAGAGTTAATTTACAAAAGGCCTCAGGTCAAAGGTGAACTGTCGGTGATCCACAAAGGATAGTGAAGGAACCTGAGGCTGATATCTGCAGAGAAGTCACCACCCTGAGACCTGCTGAGACAAAGCAGGGAGAGGTTATGGTACCCAGAGAAGATGGGCTTCTGTCATGTGACAATTGCCTTGAGAGGAGTTGTGAAAGTCTGTCTAAGGACATGGACGGTTCAAGGTGATGTCAAGAGGGACACATCAAGGAGTAAATACCCTGAACTCGCTCGCTTTCTCCCTCCTCTCTGCTGCTGGAGCTCCTGGCTGCCCAAGCCCAACCAGAAGCCAGAGGGTGCTTGCTGGAGTGTGTGGAAGTTTACGTCAGCCATCCCACGTGGGCAGTTCTCAACATGTTGTCAGGAGAGACCAGTCCCTGGAGAAAGATATCATGCGCGGCAGCACAAAAGAGGCAGGTCTTTGACAAGATGGATGGGCACAGTGGCTGCAGCAATGGGCTCCCACAGGACAACAGTTGTGGGGCCGGCACAAGGTGGGGCCGTGTTTCCTTCTGTTGTCCACAGGGTTGTTTTGAGTCAGAATCCACTTGATGGCACAAAACAACAACAACCTGGGTAGCGTAGCAAGGACGAAGAACTATCTGCATAAGATCTGCACAGACAAATGGCAGATACACGGCCCAATGTGGAAACTTGAAGATGTCCCCTTAGGAAATGATGGATGCCATTAAAAACAAAAACAAACACTCTGAGTACTTCTCTTTGCTTCTGACTCATCTGTTAATTCCATTAAAATGCTCTGTCCGGCACTCCACAATAACATGTGCTGTCAACAATCCCCCCCTAAGGCACTAACCCGGGAAAGATATGTTATTATGAAGATACAGCAACCCACTCATGGAAGAAGTTCCACGGGCTCCTTGTCTCCCATCCTAGCCCCTAAGCTAAATAGAAAATGTCCATGGCAGCTTGAGAAGACAAAGGAGAATATTATAACGAAATGTATGAAGACCTAGAGTTAGAAAACAAAAACAAGACAAAATGCAAGCCTCGAAGTACAATATTGAAAGATTCTATGGGGAAAATATTGAAAGCATCAAAAGAAGTAAAGAGAGCATATAGGATAGTCCCAGGCCATCATGCCTTTGGCATCCACAACAAAACCCAACAATCACCAGTTCTATAACCTTGGAATGGCAATCATATGGATCTGAAACAATAGGGAGTGTCAGCCTTAAGACCAAGGGCTACTAGTGAATTCGATGTGAATCCCAGTTCACTTAGTAGGGTTTCCACATCAAGTCTTTCTGGTTCGGCCTATAGAGGATGGTGTGTGGCTCAAAAGAACAGAGTCTAGGGCCTCCTCCTCACCACATAGATATAGTTCTGCCATTGTGAATGAATGCTATGGAACGTTTCACTCTATCACCAACCCCAACTGTGTGGATAGTGTCCAGCCACTTAAGAGTTCAATCTCTTCAAGTCAGCAATTCATATATAGCAGTCTGTAGCCAGTCTGCACTTGTACAATGTCCTTTTATCAATTCTACCCCACTGGTTAAATTAATGACAATATCAATAGAATTAGCTTATCCCTCAGGAGGATGATTGATATTGTTCTCAAATATAAAATTATAATGATGGCGCTAAAGTGAAGCAGAGACATATATAAACCATAGATACCTAAATAGACATTTGGATAACACTTAATTCTAGGCCAATCTGAGAACAATTAGTTCTTATGATTTGGCCCTGCTTGATACTCATCCTCATGAAGAGATCACTGAAGATATGGCTTCTACAGCAAAGTGTGACAAAGGAACTAGATGGTGTCTGGCTATTGAAAGAATAGTGTCTGGGAGCTTAAAGCAGCCATCTGAGTAGGGCATCACCTTGCCCCACACAGAAGAAGCACACCAGCTATGTGATTCAAGAATGTGAATGAATCCAAACTGAAGGAGGGAATAGTATCAGAGCTTACATTGTGAACACCCGATGTGTGGAAACCTATGGATGACAGTGGGGACCTAAAAGCCACTCGAGGTCCATACATGGATTAAGCCTCCAGTGAATCACCTCTGACCAGGGATGTCAATAGCCTTGCTATCATGCAAAGGGCACTGTCTTTTTTTTTTCACGTTTTGGTTTTCTGCACTTTGTTTTCTATTCATTTCTGTATATGAAAGCCAGGGTAGGCCGAACTATACAGACGGCGGCTGCATGGATGACTTCTTGAGGGGTGTGGTGGGAGAGGTTGGAAGTGGTGGGGCGCTGCTGACAATTAGTATAAGAAAGAAAGAAATGCTAAAAAATTGATTGTGAAGATAATTATACAACTCTCTTTAATACATTTGAACGATGGAATTATAATATAAAGATGGAACGGATACAGTGTCATGGTACCCAAAAAGAACGAGTCGACATTCCACCATCTCAGGAGGTAGCATATGAGCAAGAACCAATGGTGCTGAAGGAAGACATTCAAGCTGCACAGAAGGCATCAGCCACAAACAAAGCTTCAGGAATTGGTGGAATTACAATTAAAATGTTTCAACAAACTGGTGAAGCACTAGGAGCACTTACTTTTCTATGCCAGGAAATGTGGAAGACCGCTACTTGGCCAACTGACTGGAAGAGATCCATATCTGTACTCATCCCAAAGAAAGGTGATCCAACAGAATGCTCAAATTATAGAACAATATCGTTGATATCACATGCAAGTAAAAAAAATCTGCTGAAGATCATCCAGCAACAGCTGCAGCAGGGAGCTGCCAGAGTTCAAACCAGATTCAGAAGAGGAGGTAAAACAAGGGACAGCATGACTGATGTCAGATTGATCAAAGCAGAAAAGGGTTTACTTGGGTTTTATTGACTGCCAAGGCACTGCACTGTGGAGTCACAACAAACTATGGATACCCTTGAGAGGAATGGGAACTCCAGAACACTTCACTGTGCTCCTGCAAAACTTGTCCATGGATCACGAGGCAGTTGTGTGAACAGAACAAGGAAATATGCATGGTTAAAAATCAGGAAAGGTGTGTGTCAGGGTTGTATCCTTTCACTATACTTATCAAATCTGTATGCTGAGCAAATCATCAGGGAAGCTAGATTATATGAAGAAAAATG